AATCTGGGATCCTCGATCGAAGAAGATTACATCGTCTCGGGGACTGTCGTCCAATTATCAAGGTCTGTGGTTGAAGAGGGTCATGCCAAAATAAATTCAACAAGTTTAACATGGGACTGGAGGAATAAGTATACCGACTATTTGAAGAGTGGTAAACTCCCATCGGACCATAAAGAATCGAGGACCCTACGGGCCAAGGCTGCTAGGTTCGCATTAGATGAAGATGGAACATTGTACCGAAGAACATTCGATGGACCATTGGTTGTATGCTTGGGGCCAGGGGACACCGATTATGTTCTACGGGAAATCCACGAAGGCACTTTTTGGAACCATTCCAGTGCCGAATCTTTGGTCCGCAAAATTATCAGAGCAGGTTACTACTAGGATATCATGGAAAAAGATACTAAGGAATTTGTCAAAAAATGTGATAAGTGTCAACGATTTGCATCGATGATCTATCAGCCCAGAGAACAACTCCATTCGGTCCTATCCCCCTAGCCTTTCATGAAATGGGGAATGAATATAGTCGGCCCTCTACTAACGGCTCCAGGTAAAGCTAAATTTAATTTTTTTACGACTGATTATTTTTCTAAGTGGGTGAAAATATAGGCCTTCGAGAAGGTCAGAGAAAAAGAAGTTATTGACTTCATTGGGACCACATCATATGCCGTTAGGGATACCTGCCGAGATTGTATGTGACAATGGAAAATAATTCAACGGCAGCAAGGTGACGGAGTTCCTCGAGGCACAAAAAATAAAGAGGATCTTATCGAAACCATACCATCCAACTGGAAATGGACAGGCCGAATCAACAAACATAACTATAATTCAAAACGTGAAGAAAACGTTAGACGATTCAAAGGGGAAATGTAGAGAAGTTTTACCCGAGGTCCTTTGGGCATATCAGACAACATCAAAGTCTAGCATGAGGGTCACCCTTTTTTCTCTAGTATATGGCTCTGAGGCCCTCATCCCCGTCGAGGTCGAAGAACCCAGCGCTAGGTTTGACATGCATCGGAAGAGTCAAATCATGAGGCCATGAATGCTAGTCTCGAGGTATTAGATGAAAAGCGAGAAGAAACACTTGTTCGGATGGCCGCGCAGAAGAAAAAGATCGTAAGATACTACAATAGAAGGACCAACCTTCGACACTTCAGAATTGGAAACTTAGTTCTACGAAAGGTCACCCTCAATACTCGAGACCCTAATGAAGGGAAACTAGGCCCGAATTAGGAAGGACCGTACCGAGTCCTCAGATTTGTCGGTAAAGGATGTTAAAAATGTGAACAACTGCCACACAATTGGAACATATCATTACTCAAACGATACTACTGCTAAGGTATGGCTTTATCCTTTTGCACATTTGAGTTTAAAACTAACTTGTTACAGATTTTCGATGGAAGCTATCGAAGGCACGCGATCTCGTAGACACCCTTTTTAGAGGAAGGCCTTAGGTTTTAAAGCATGTGTTGCACTCTTTTTCCCTCATATCGGATTTTGTCTCAAATGGGTTTTATCGGCAAGGTTTTTAACGAGGCAAAAATTATGTGCTACCTAAGGAGAACTCGATAGTATCCAAGGCTTCTTTTCAATTAACGTCGAATACTGGGGGGCATCACCCTCAGAGGTTATGTTTTCAAGGAAAATACTTCACGCCTAAGAGGGCCTTAATAGGAAAACTTTATAATGGGCTAAACGGTCAGATGAATCGTGTCCATATAGAATACTCGTGCCCTGACGGCAAAACATGTACGCATGTATCAAATTATTTAAAGAAGCATTTTGTTTATATCAAAAACACTTTGTGTCTCAAAGAAGTATACTATTATACGAGCTCTACACTTATAATACTACGGGAAACGGCTCAAGAGCCAAAGCATAAAACCACCCCGAATACTCGAGGACTGTCATCGACAGTCAATACATCTGACTCACCAAAAACTCGAACTCATAAGACCTCAAAGAGGCATCCCCACGAAATAAAGGCCAAGGCCAATATACTCGGGGACTAGCTTTTTTGAACAAGTTAGAAAAGTTATCGGGAAACAAGTCCAAGTGACATACCCGAAGGCTATGACCATATTAAAGACTACGGTCATGAAAAATGGCTACGACCTAAATATTGCGGCTCGGAGACGTCTGGCTTCCGCTATAAATCAAAGGCATTGAAACACTTTGAAAAAATCATTTAAGTTAGGCTACCCTCTACAAAAGCAAAATATAAAGGGCTTCAATAAATCTAGCCCTCGAATAATTTAAAAGGCTTCGATAAATTTAGCCCTCGGATAATTTAAAGGCTTCGATAAACATCAGCCTTCGAAAAAACCTCAAGAGGTATTCGATTATGTTTACACAAACTAATTACTAATAAGGTTCAGATATGTTGAACCTTCGAAAAACCCAAACTGGTACAAAAAACACATGCCAAGGCATACAAAATTTTTCACGAAGTCTTTTAGCCGAAAAAAGGGAAAAATTATAGCCACTGTAGAGGCTGAATCGACCCAACTTAAAGAGCCTAAGGGCCAACTTAAAGAGCCTAAGGGCCAATATAAAAAAGCCTAAGGGCTAACTTTATTTCGAGTTCGAGCAAGTGATCACTCGACTACTAAGCCCAAGGGCTACCCGAGTTTGAGAAAATTCTCACTCGAGGACAATCTACGAAGCCTAAGGGCTAACTTTTTCAAGACCTTGCTCTCACTCAACTCGGACTCAGGAGTCCCGATTTCCCAAGCTTGCATCAAATCAATTTAAGCTTAGCTCGAGGATTAACAAACACCTTAAGGGGTATTGTATTGATCGATTAAAAACCTAAGGGTTTATTATGTTCTGAGTCCGGTATTCGGACTAATCTCTAAAGCTATACAATCAAATTTTTCACAAATAAAGATGGAATGGAATTCAAGACGAGCCAAAAATGAGATAAAGAGATCCTTTTATATTTCCAAGAGATGCTTGCAAAATATATTTACGACATCCGCGAAGGGTCCTTACACAGAAACAAAGAAGCAAAAAATAAAAGCCAAGAACCTAATCTACTTTTAGGGCCACGTCCCCGAGAGCGGCATCTCCGGGAACCTCCTTCCCGGGGATCCCATTTTGTTCTTTGGAAATTTTTGTGTGCTTGAAGAAATTTAGGGCAGAAAACCCTCGATAAATATAACTATATTTCCAACAGGTGGGATTGAGCATTCTGTTGAAATTTTGGGCCATAATCCATTAATAAAGAGCGGCAAAAGAGAAAGACCAGAAGGGAAGACAAGAAGATGTAGCTTCAGCTTCTATCACAACAAAAATCAAAAAAGATTGCAAGATGCACGAGCAATGATCCAAGAATATTTATCCTTGGGACGTTGTACCGGTGTGGGATGCAAAAGTTAGTAGATGATAGTGCCACCTCACTCCATGGAAAGCAAAAGGAATGAAGTGCCACACCAAGTTGAAGTTAAGAGAGATGAGCGACAGGGTGAAGTTCGCATATTTTCTGATGCGGTAAGGATTCTGCGCCCTTCTCTCGTTGTTTCGAATCAAAGCTTTGAAAAGGGGAGCCTTGGCGTAACTGATAAAGTTGCTGCCATTCGACCAGGAGGTCGCAGGTTCGAACCATGGAAACAGATGATTAGAGAAAGAAATTAAGAAGGAAAAGAATTAGAGTAACGAAGATGAAATGAGTACATTTCTTTGTTCAACGGAGTAGCCTCATATTTATAGAAAGGCGACAACGGTTCGGCGGCGCTAGTGGCCGACCAGTGCTGGCGCGTATTTGATGTTTTTGGGGAAGCGTGCTGACATGACATTTTCGATCACTTCGAGCGTCTACGTCACGGGCATGACGTCATCATAAGAGGCTCGGGAAAATCTAGGTTCAAATTGTTTCTTATCATCTTATTCTAAGCAACGCGGGGACTATATGTTACGGTCATAATCGCATACCTCCGATTATAGGCTCGAGGGCCCGAGTTCAGGCGAGGTCGAGTTCGAGCTCGAGGGACCAGACCCAAAGTTCGAAGATAGAGCATGATACGACCGAGGCCGAGTATGCTCGACCCCGAAATAGTATTTTTATGGACTTGAAACAGAATGAGCGAGATTCCTACCACGTTCCCAAGATCATAGCGCAAATCCCGGAATAGGATTGTACGATTCCGTACTAGGCGGTTAGACAGTTGTGTCGAGAATATTCCTTATTCTAAATAGAAATATTCCTTATTTAGGGTTCCCCTTATTATATAAATGAGACCCCAATCATTTGTAACATCATCTAATTATTGAGCAAAGAATATACTCTCTACTTTTTGCCTACTGTTCATCAGAATTGTCCTTTAGCTCTACTGTTCTTACTTAGTTGTTTTTATTGTTCCAAGCCCACCTCGAGGTCACTGCTATCGAGTAACACTGGTTTTGATGCACTTGTCTCTTTCATTTCTACTTCACATTTCTTGTTTATTAATCGGTATTAAACTAAATCACTTATCTTTAAAAACATAATTAATTTAATTGTTACTAGTATTTTGGAGATAAACATTTACTTTATTTATACATCTAAAGAGTTCTCTTTCCTTTTATATTAAAAGCTCTACTTTTGTGTTAAAGTATTAAATATTATCTTTTAAATACCTAAACCTATTATTTCAAAAAAATGGGCCCCCATATTAGAGGGCCTAAGGCACAAACCTTACCCCTCCCTCATCATGTTAGAGCCGGCCCTGCATTTTGAGCATGAGTTTCATACATCTTTTGGACAATAACAAGGGTACGGTCCCCAAAAATAGAAGAATACTTCGATTTTCCTGGAAAAACTGAAAATCACCCGAAAATATTTTTAAGAAATTCAACACTAGAAAAGGTTTCTCATCACACTTCTCAATCCAAACGCCAAATAAATGTTTGGTTATACATATTCTATGTAAAATGCAATTAATGAGTCAAATCAAATATATGTGAATCACAAAATTAAAACCCACCAAAATAAACCATGACACCAGATTAACATGACTATCTGCTGCATATATTTGATGCTTTGATGGAAATTGACTTCTATAAAGTCATAGAAGAATTTCATACCAATAGATACAAGGTAAACATAACCTTGATTATTGATCACAATCTTAATAAAAGGAAAAGAGAAAAACAAAAACATAAGTTCTTAATACTTAAATAATAAACCAACATTTAGAACAAGTTCTTGATGGTAAAAGATCTTCAAAACATAGGGTTGCAATGAGCATAAAACTAGGACTCAGTATGAGATTACTCTTCTTTTTTACCATTCTTATCAATGGTCTCTTGATTTGTTTCCTCATTCTTATCAGAGTTCATGAAGTTATTCCAAGCAGTAGCATAAAACTTTTCAAGCTCGAATTTTTTCCCATTCTTATTAGGGTTCATGAGATTATTCCGAGCATCAGCAAAAAACTTTTCAACCTTCAATTTTTCCTCCAGTGTTCCTGTGTATCCAGCTGGCAGCTTCTCGCTTTTTGTCTTCTTTGATGTTTCAACCTTTAATTTTCAATTAATAAAATTATGTTAAGCTTGACATAAGAATAAGATTAACGATTAGCTAGTTAATCCATTTATAATATGTGTATAACAATATATAATTATGTTTATAGCATAACCAAGGTAAATAATTAAATCAGCCAACTAATTGTGTGAAGATCCTTATAAAATTTACTTATGATTTTTCACATAACAAAGTCATTTCTCACGAAAAATTCAATTTACAGGGTTTGAGCACGAATAAAATATTTTTCTTGGAAAATATTTCGACACTTCCCACACATACGGGTAGAAGTTACTTTTTCTCAAATTTATAACTTTAATTTTATATTTTTTTCTCCAACTAACACTTAAATATTATTACTATTATTTAATTGCACCTTTGCATCTAAGTACTTTCAGACTTATTACTGATATTTAATTTATTCTTGTTTTAAAAAAATAATTTGAATTCATCAACCAAATATTAGAGAATAGGCGCATATCCGGTGTAGAAGCTATCATTAAAGAACACAATTAGAGAAAAGAGCAAGAGGAGTGATGAGTTGTGACTTGTGAGGTTGGACCTTTAAAAATGCCTTTTGTCTAAAATTTACATGATCTCACGCAATTACTGTCACTTGTGTGAGATATAGGATAAAAATTTTAAAACAGAGTATACAAAAGGCGAAGAAGAAATAATCCAATAGAGCCCATCTATTTCACGGTTCTTCATCTAGACACTTCAACTTAAACGCCTCTAATAGATTCTGTCCCTTATTTACATTAATTTATTATTCACGTCATTTTTTTAAGAAAATATTTTTTTATTTAAATAAAATCCATTTTCTTTGATGAACAGACCGTGTTGCGCTGACCTCATTTTTGTACAATTCTTTCTTAGGTGGTGGTCGAATTTGTAGTTGGGTCTTTTATGGGAATGGCGTGAAGGTATGGTGGTTTGAGAGTTGCGTTTTTTCAAGGGGGTGGCGCGATCTGAAGATGGTGGAATTGGGTCTTTGGTTGCTATTCTAATCTTTTTCTCTTTCTTCTACCACTCTTTTGTCGTTGGAATTTTGGGTCATGATAATGGGCTAACGGAAACAAAAGTTTGAGACTATCTATTTTATTGGTTATTTGTATACTGCACCAAGTTAATGGAAGGTTAAAGTGAAGCTAAACTAAAGTTATTGACTTTCGGGTGAGAAACCCTAAACACAACTAGAAGAATTAACCTAATAACCGTTCATTGAGTCGTTTAAATTAAAAATAGCCGATAAATATATATAATTTATGTGTAATATGTATATAACCCTATATAATCATTACACCGTCAAGAAAAGTAAATAATGAATTGAAATGGCTATTTGTGTAACGATTCCATAAACTTCTGAGTCAAAACACATATTAAAATTGAGTTTACTAATAAGTCAAAGAATTTAGATATCCAACTCAACCTTAAAATCATAGGTAATATATCAATATATAAACCCTTATAAACTAAGGATAATACCAAAATAAAAATGTAACAAGGAAAATTGATTCGAATAATCTTACATTTGTGCTTGCAGCATTTCTCCACGGTTGAGTTGACGTTATAGTCGGTGTTGGTGCCCTTTTTTTCGAATTGATTGCCTTGTCCTGTGGAAGTTAGGAAGACAACATCAAGAAGATTGAAAATAACAACAAAAAATTACCAAAAATTCCTTTATAGAAAAAATTTTAAAGGAAGGAAAAAAATGTCCTTAAATAATATATCTAAACTATTATTAAAAGATACTTTTCATTAGGGACAAAAGGAGAACAAATGAAAAATAGAGCAATCCGCACAAGCGAAAAGTATACATATCACCATTGAAAATTACTATAACATCATATAAAAATTATTACAACAGCATAGAGCAAGATTAACAACATGCAAGTAAGGGATTATTTCATGACATAAACATATTTTACAAGCAGAGCTTATTAATCATTATTGGAATGGGGAGTCTTGTTTCTGAAACAATAAAGAGAGAAGATTTTATTAAGAAGAATCGCAAAATGTTTCTTAAATGATCGATTTGAGGTAGATCAAGTGAATAAGATGAATTACCATTATGTGACGCTAGAACAAAAGATCACCTTACAGAAACTTAAAATCAATGTCTTGAAAAGACTCGACTCTATGATTTATATAGAGGAGGATTTATATTCAAAAGATCAATAAAGGAAAAAGTTAAAGTTGTAAGTGAATGAACAGATGAGGATAATCAAATGATGCGAATCAGGTTAATTTTGATATTTTGGAATGAAAATTATTGTATTTCACCATAATTGAACAACTTACGAAAAATTCCCATATCTTGATTATCTGTTGAATTATTATAATTTTGCGTTGACGCGTCATAATGACTAGGATCAATATCTATATAACATTTATAATTATTATGAAAATCTAAGAAAGAATGATAAGTCTAACGGTCTCTTATTTACCCGCTTATTGCACCACCTCAAAACTTTTCAAATTTAAAGTTATATATGCATCTAAAGAAAGATAAAACCATAAGAATAGTACTCCCTACACCAAAAGGACAATGAAAATAAAAGAGAAAATAGGGCACAATAACCTTTCATATCATTAATTAATTTCTTTACATAGAGTAAGTATTTTGAATTTACTTAAGCAAAATTAAAGGAGAGATTTGGCTATTGGCTAATTAAAAAACCAAGTGCAATAAAAAGAAAAGGCTAGTGCAACAAACAAATTCAAGTAACAAAAGAAAATAGCTAAAATTTCGATGGAGTTTTCCGCCTATCTGATTTTTCATCAGAATTCCAATTATATTTCCGACAACATTCTGATGGAATAATGAATATTTTTTATTCTTTTGCTTTTTGGACAGCTTTGGAAATCTTCGCTCATAATTTCTCGTTCTTATTTTCCCGTAAATATCGTCAAAAAGCTAATAGTAAAAAATAAAAATAAAAAATAAGGGCAAGTTTCCGACGAATTTGGTCGTTAAATCAATTAAAAATAAATTTATCTTTATTTTTTTCCGAATATCGTATGATTGACAAATGTGTAAAAATTTTTAAAATGAAAATTGTTTTAATTTAATCATAACTGAATCTATATATAAATATAAAGCTGGGAATAGAGAAGGTGATAAGGCATGCTTTTCTAACCTGCATGACCCAAAATTCGCATGTCGTGATGGCGCCTACCTTAATACCAGGCAAGCCGACAATCTCAATAAACCACAATTTCTTTTAAGTACTTCAAAAGTTTCAATATACTTAGGACTCAACTTGTCCTTCTTCCCGAATCTGATAACACCCTTCATAGGAAAAATTCTAAGTAGTACCTTCTCTCCTACCATGTAAGCAACATCACGGGCCTTGCAGTCAACATAGCTCTTCTGTCTAGATTGTGCAGTGCGGATTCGATCCTGAATCAATTTAACTTTTCTCAAGCATCCTGAACTAAGTTAGTACCCAATAACCTAGCCTCACCCGGCTCAAACCAACCCACAGGAGACCGACATTGTCTACCATATAAAGCCTCATACGGAGCCATCTGAATGCTCGATTAGTAATTGTTATTATAGGCAAAATCTGCTAGCGGGAGAAAATGATCCCAAGAACCCCCAAAATCTATAACACAAGCGCGTAACACATCTTCCAATATCTAAATAGTGCGCTCGGACTGTCCGTGCGTCTTGGGGTGAAATGCAATACTCAATTGAATCTGTGTGCCTAACTCTCGCTACACTACTCTCCAAAATTGTGACGTAAACTATGTGCCCCTATCTGAAATAATGGACACTGGCACACCGTGAAGACGAACAATCTCACGGATATAAATCTCCGCTAACCGCTCCGAAGAATAAGTAGTACCAACTGGAATAAAATGCACGGATTTGGTCAATCTATCCACAATTACCCAATTGGCATCAAACTTCCTCGATGTCCGTGGGAGCTCATCTACGAAGTCCATGGTGATACGCTCCCACTTCCACTATGGAATTTCAATTCTCTGAAGCCATCCGCCCGTTTTCTGATGCTCGCACTTTACCTGCTGACAATTTAAACACCGAGCTACAAACCCAACTATATCTTTCTTCATTTTTCTCCACCAATAATGCTTCCTCAAGTCCTGGTACATCTTAGCGGCAGCAGGATGAATGGAATACCGTGAACTGTGGGCCTCCTCAAGAATCAAGTCATGCACTCTATCTATGTTTGGTACACAAATCCGAACCTGCATCCTCAACACCCCATCATCTCCAATGGTAACATCTTTGGCATCGCCATGCTGAACCGTATCCTTCAGGACAAGCAAATGGGGGTCATCATACTGACGCTCTCTGATGCGGTCATATAAGGAAGACCGAGAAATCACACAAGATAGAACCCGACTGGGCTCCGAAATGTCTAATCACACGAACTGGTTGGCTAAGGCCTCATCTAAAGCAAGCGGTATTTCACCAACAAGAATAAATGCAAGGCTACCCATATTCACTACCTTCCTACTGAAAGCATCGGCCACCATATTGGCCTTCTCGGGATGATACAAAATAATAATATCATAATCTTTTATCAGTTTTATCCATCTTCATTGTCTCAAATTTAGATCCTTTTGTTTGAATAAATGCTGAAGACTCCGATGATCTATAACTACTTCACAAGACACACCATAGAGGTAGTGTCTCCAAATCTTCAATGCATGAACAATAGCTGCCAACTCCAAGTCATGAACATGGTAGTTCTTCTCATGAGGTTTCAATTGGCGTGAATCATAAGCAATTACTTTATTCTCCTACATTAAGACACACCCAATACCAATCCAAGAAGCACTACAATATACAGTATAAGAGCCTGAAGCTGAAGGTAAAACTAGAACTTGAGCTGTGGTCAAGGCAGTCTTGAGCTTCTGAAAGTTCTCTTCACACTCATCCGACCACCTGAATGGAGCACCTTTCAGGGTCAATTTAGTCAAAGGCGATGCAACAAACAAGAAACCCTCCACAAAGCGTCGATAATATCCGGCCAAGCCGAGAAAACTCTGAATCTCCGTAGCTGAAGATGGACTGGGCCAACTCTGAACTGCCTCTATCTTCTTCGGATCCACCTTAATCCTCTCACTAGACACTATGTGTCCCAAGAATGCCACCGAACTAAGCCAGAACTCACACTTATAAAATTTGGCATAAAGTTTCTCCTCTCTCAGCCTCTACAATACAATACCCAAGTGTTGTGCATGCTCCTCTTGGCTATGTGAGTACACCAAGATATCATCAATAAATACTACGACAAATTAATCAAGATACGACTGGAATACGCTATTCATCAAGTGCATAAATGCTATTGGGGCGTTGGTCAGCCAAAAATACATCACGAGAAATTCATAATGACCATAACGGGTTCTGAATGTCGCCTTTAGAATATCTGAATCCTGAATTTTTAACTGGTGATATCCGGACCTCAAATCAATGTTGGAGAACACCCTCGCTCTCTGAAGCTGGTCAAATAACTCATCAATACGTGGCAAAAGATACTTATTCTTGATTGTAACTTTGTTCAACTGCCTGTAATCAATGCACATCCGCATAGTACCATGTTTCTTTTACACAAGCAGAATTGGCGCACCCCAAGGCGACAGACTAGGCCTAATAAACTCTTAGCAAGAAGTTCCTGAAGTTGCTCCTTTAATTCTTTCAATTCAGCTGGTGCCATATGATACGGAGGAATAGAAATGGGCTGAGTGCCCGGCACCAAATCAATACAGAAATCAATATCCCTGTCGGGTGGCATACCCGACATGTCTATAAAAAATACATCTGGAATGTCTCGCACGACCGATACTGAATAAATAGTAGGAGTATCTACATCAAAATCTATCACAAAGGCCAAATATGACAAACACCCCTTCCCAACCAGACGTTGGTCCTTCAAATAAGAAATTACACTACTGGGAACATAATCTAGAGAATCTTTCCACTCAACCTTTGGAAATCCTGACATCCTAACGTCACGGTTTTAGAGTGACAATCAAGAATAGCATGGCATGGAGACAATCAATCCATACCCAAGATTACATCGAAATCAACCATACTAATAAATAAGAGACCAACTCTAGTCTCCATTCCCCCAATAGTTACCAGACACGACCGATACATACGATCCACGATAATAGTATCGCCCACTAGCGTAGATACACGAACAAGTGAAATTAAGGACTCACGTGGCATAACTAGAATACAAGCAAAATATGACGAGACATATGAATAGGTGGAACCAGGGTCAAATAATATAGAAGCTTCCCTGTAGCACACTAAGACAATACCTATGATTACTGTGTCTGAGGCAACTGCATCTGGTCTGGCAGGAATAGCATGGAATCTCGCTCGACCACTACCTGATCTGACCCCTCCAGGCGTGCCCCACCTCATGCTGGCTGGGCGGGTAGTGGAATAACTGGTGCGTGAGCCGCAGCTTGACTCCTCTGCTGAATTGGACCTCGTGGAAGGCGGGGACTAAACTTCCTCACATGACCCAGCTCTCCACACTCATAACAATGCCTCTCAAAAAATGGCTGCGAGTGTTGAGGCAGTACCCGAGAACCACAAAAATTCCAAAAGAACCTGGTATAGATGAACCCTGAATAGATGGTGCACGAGATGAACTCTGAGTTGGAAGTTCTCTAAGAGACGACTGGCTCGATCGAGCTCTATATGAATCATGGCTAGCTAATGCGCTATGATGAGCAACAAGCCTATAAGGTTGACCCCTACTGTGATAGGACTGTCCCCCAAAAGGAACACCAATGGAATTACCCGAACCACGAGACCTCTTGGCCTTCCTCTCCTCACGCTTTTGAGAACGGACCATTTTTAGCTATCGAGCACTATCAATCACCTCGTCGAATTTAGCACCTGCTACATTTCCCAGAGTCATAACAAAACAAAACTGTTGGTTGAAGCAATTAATAAAACTCCTAATCTTTTTCCTCTCAGTGGGAACTAACCAAATTGCATGACGAGCTAAGTCTGAAAACCTCATCTCGTATTGTGCAATCGATATGTCCTCCTAACGGAGCTGTTTTCCTGCACAGCTCCTTTCTGCAGGTCTGTGGTACAAACTTCTCCAAGAAGAGAATGGAGAACTCATGCCATGAAAGTGGTGCTGCACCAATTGGTCTTCTCCTCTCATAAGTCTCCCACCATGTGAAGGCTACCCTAGTCAACTGAAAGGTAGTAAATAAGACCCCACCGGTCTCCAGAATATCCGATGTACGAAGAATCTGCTGGCATCTGTCTAAGAAATTCTGAGCC